TATATCTTCTTTTCTTCTCTCCATCACAACTTCTCCTGATGTCACCCTGAACTCACCATTGGAACACGGAATCCTCTCACTGTCCACTGCCTGTGGCACCATGCCCACCTGGAGAGCATGTACCCACTTGCTGCACCCACCTCACCTGCAACCTCAAGGAAGGGAGAAGGCTCCTGGATTCAGCCCCAGGGTCTAAGTTTAGGCAGACTCCTTAGCACTCTGACACTGGTCTTCTGCCCCCTTGGGCAAGTCACGTCCCTTCTTTGGGCCTGTGTTTCCGACTCTGTAGAAAGAAATTGGACTAGCTGATCCTAGACTGCCTTGCACTCTGACAACCTACGATGCTGTGATCTGTACTTACCCTGCGGCATAGCTACTGCCTCATAAATAATCAATTCAGATTTCCATGTCATATTTGTGCATGTTCTGTTGAAATGCACATGCATTCTGGACACCCAACCCCAGCCCAGTCCTTACCAATAATACTCAAGAGATTCAGCCCAGGAAAACAAAAGGTGGGAACTGTTTGCAGAAGCCAGAGACTCCCATCTTTCTAGACTCTCTTGCTCTTCTATGTCCAAGCAAATGAGATTCCAGAATAGGCAACTTGCTGAATTTCAGACAAGCAACCTGCCAGCCCAGGTCAGTTCACCTGTGAAGGCTGCAGGGACTAGAAGAGGCTGGAGGCCAGACAGCCATGGCTGGACATTCAGCAGAAGGGGAAGGAAGGAGTAGGGAGCAGGTGAAAGGGATTTCTGAAATCCCCTTCATGCAAATGAGATTAGCCCAGCATGCAAATGGTACAGAATCAACTTGAGATGGTGTGTGGGGAGGCAGCAATCTGGCCCTGGAACCCTGTGAGGGACAAGGGCTTCCTCTGGAGAAAGCAGGACTCCAGTGGAGGAGGTTACAGTCAGAAAGGGGGCCCTGTGTGCCCACACAGCAGGGGTGGGGATTAGGGCTGGACGCCCTGCTGTCAGGTTAGAGCTGATGGATCACCGCTGGTGGCAGAGCACAAAGGCTGCTCTGTGCTTGGCACCAATGTGTTCCCATCCATCAGAGGGCAGCTTGCGGCTGAAGGGCTGTGCCGGGGAGAAAAGCAAGATCTAGACATGGTTCCTTCACAACTCGGCTAAGAGAAGAACAAGGCCAGTCCCTAGCCACTTGAAAGTTTTCAGAGGTCAGAGACACCTGGATCACCCCATGATCTTGGTCCTGGGAACATTCCCACTTGAGTCCTGATATGGTACCCAGGTCACCTTATTCAGGCATACATAAACATATGTACAGGCGTGGTTCATAGAGACCCAGGCATACAAGGTCACCGTAACCTCCCAACCCTGTCCTTATATTAGGTCAGAGGCAAAAATCGCACAAACACAAGGCCACACTCACACCTAACACAGGTGCCTGAAGACAGGAGCTGCTCCTAGTCACTGTTCTCACCCCAGGTCCTGTCCCCACCCAGAGATCAACACAAAGTAGGTCCTTAGGAAATAGGTGTTGAGCAGAGGAAGGAGTGAATGAATCAAATTTTCCCTCTGGATTATAGACCAATGTGGCAGTTTTTCTAACCTTCCCTTTTGTCACTGAGCCCTGTCTACCTTGGTGTGCTCATCTCCCTCACTCAACTGTGAGCATATTGACAGCAGACAGACCACATCCTATTCGTGACAGTGACCCTGGAGCCTGGCACACTGTGCTCAGTATATGTTTTTCAATTGAAAGAAAAAGGATGGGAGGGAGGAAGGAAAGGAGGGAGGGAGGGAGGAAGGAAGGGGAAGGAAGGATGAAAAAGAAAGAAAGAGGAAGGAAGGATGAAAAGAAAAAAGAGAGAGCGAGAAAGAATAACTATATAAGGTGGGGGGGAACACGTTTTTCCCCAATTCCTGCTCCTGGGTTCTGCTATGGGACAATGAGGACATGATCTGTAGATCATAGAGATAAAAGGGAGGGTAAGGACTCAGGAGTTGGGAAGAGGACAAAGCAAGAAGTGGGTCTCGTATTTATTGGGTATTTTCATGAAAGTCCTCCTCTCACGTAATAAAACAACATCCTCCCAGGGTACGCATGCACACACGCCCGCACACACACCATCCTTCGTCAGCCTGAACCATGCATGCTTCCCAGTCAAATCCACTCTCTTGCCTCTGAGGGTTGTTCGGACAGATCATCGTCGTACTCCAAGATTACTGTCATGGTGGTCTTTGTGGTCTCCTTGCCTCAGTTTCCAAGTCCCTCCATGCCCAGCTGGGCCTCTTTCCATCTTTGTAGCCTTGTCTCCAGGTACTCCTCACCTGAACTCTTCTCCTCTGGTACAAATCACAAATCCTACCCGTTCCTCAAGACCCAACCCAGCCCAGCCCACTCCTCCGGCCTGAATTCTCCACAGAGGCCCCAGCCTTCAGTGGTTTTGCCATTCTAAAAGCTTCTGACACACCTTTTGTTTTCAGTACTGGGGTTGGAACTCAGGGCCACGGGCAGGCACTGTACCACTTGAGCCACACCTCCAGCCCTGAGACACCCTTTTGCCAAACCTACTTATTTACAAAGGATCACAGCCCCATTGACTATGCCATTAGCCTACTCTCCCTTGCCTGCAGTCACAGTTCAGTGTCTAGGCTTGCCCACAAGACAGCAAGGGCTGTCACAGGACAAGCCCATTCTGCTTCCATTTTTAGAGGAAGAAGACAGATTGCTTAAGGGCAAGTCAAATAGGATTCTGAAAGGACAAAGACCCTATTTCTGGGTTTTCATAGTAGCTTTGACTTCATTCCTTTTCTTGGGAATATGAGATTGGAATGTAAACTGAGGCAAAGTTTTTCTTTTTTGGGGTGGGTGGGAGGATTGGAAATAGAGCTTCTTATTCTGATTGGGGTCAAGGACAAGTTTAGAACCTGCAATACCTGTGCTGTACTTTATGACAGACTGGTAAATCCAAAAACCAAATTAAGGTTCTGCTGTTCCACAACTTGCTTGGGGTTGTTTTACTGTCCAGCTATATCCCCTCCTTACCCACTTTCTTCATCAGAAGGATAGCAGCATTTTCCTGGCTCCTTGCTTTGGATAAGGTAAGGAAGAAAAGTTAGTCCTTCAAACTCTGTGCAGGTCTCACTTCCCCTGGGAGTCAGTCCTCCCTCAGGCTCCCGCATGATTCTGCTGCTTATCCTTGCTACTGGTTTTAACTTATAAGTCTCATCTGATTGCAAGATGAATCAGACTTTGTCTATGGAATGAAAGACTGCAGCTCAAAGCCCAGGATTCAGCCAGGTGCAGTGGTTCATATCTGCAATCCTACTCAGGAGACAGAGACTGGGAGGATCTTGGTTTGAGGCCAGCCCAGGCAAAAAAATTCATGAGCCCCCATCTCAATCAATAAAAGCTGGGCACAGTGACATGTGCCTGTCATCTCAGCTACAAAGGAAGGGTAAATAGGAAGATCACATTCTAGGCTGGCAAGACCCTATGGTAAAAATATCTAAACTAAAAAGGGCTGAGGACATGGCTCAAGTGGTAGTGCCTGCAAAACACAGCATTGAATTCCCAAAGCTGCCCTTTGAGGGAATGGGCTGAGCTGTCTTGTGACATCAGCAGCAGAGGTGACCTAGGAAGGGGATTTGAGTATCAGAGGTTGTGTTAACAAGGTGGTCCTCTGGGGGTGGGGGGGGTAAAGAAGAATGATGGGGGGGGTGAAATCAACTATGATATATTGTAAGAACTTTGGTAAATGTCACAATGAACCCCCAGTACAATAATAAAAAAAAATTTAAAAACAAGGTGGCCTTCATGATATAGTACACAGTAAGGTGGAGGGAAGGGATCCTGCTCTGGGCGTCCCTATATTCCCAGCCCTAAGCCTGAGCTTTGCTCATGGCTGGCACCTGAGGCCTGCACAATGCATGGGGAGGAACAGCCCTCTCAGACCCCCAAGGTCTCTACTAAGAGGTGACCATCACTGGAGACACCCAAAGATTAAATAGTCCTCCATCTGACATTTGAGAACTCGATGATGCACGAAACACTGGTGCTGAGACAGGCAGGGGGGAAGAACCCAGGCAGGAGGTCCAGGAGAGGACAGATGCCAGCTGGGTGTGAAGAGCTACCTGTCCTTTCCTACCCCCTTCCACTAAGGAGTCAGGAAGATTCTGGTATTCAAACATGGCAGGAAAGAGAGCTGAAGGACAGATAAATGAGGGTGACAGAAGGAAGAGACTTACAACTTGTGGCCTTGCCACTGGAGGTAGCAATGTGTAGGCTGTGAATTCTGATTCTTGCTCTGACCCTGACCAGCCATCTTAAGGAGAAAACTTCTTACTAAAAAACAAAAAATTTCTCTCACCTCAGTAACCACCAATATGTGAGATCTAAGAGAATGAATAAGGCCAAAAGTGCTTTGGAAACCCAGAAGCTGAATCCGTGTACCCCAGCGAGTTTCAATCTTTCTTATCCCTGGACACTGGGAACCCACAAGTGCCCAAAATTTGAAGCACAAAATTTCTTTGGTGAGGGAGGTCTTTAAAAGTCTCGTTGGACTGATACAGTGTAGTTAAGATGCTGTCAAGAGCAGGGAGACGGATGGATTGACTCTTAAGGCCCCTTCCAGCCTAAGCTGACCCCTTCCTTGTCCCTTCCTAACCTACACCCACCCTGCTGCTTTGGCTGGCAAGCCAGGAGCCGGCAGGCAGCCACTAGGAGTAACTGAAAGGAGCAGATGAGAGCGGCAATGTATCCACCCCCACCTCTCTTGCCCCACAGGGACTGCCGAGAAATGAAAACTAATCAAATTACACCCAACGGCCTCCCGACCCGTGCACAGGAGCCGCCTGGGCCAGGGGCAGGCTGGCTGGGTGGGGTGGGGGCCTTGGGGAGAGGGAAGGGGAATCACATGTAAGCCACTGTAAACGTCTTGATGTGCAGCAACAGCTTAGAGGAGGCTCAGGTTTCTGTGGCGTAGGCTATATTTATCTCTGGTTCCATGCCAGCCGGGAGGGTTTAAATGGCACCCAGCAGTTGGTGTGAGGGGCTGCAGGAGCTTGGGGACCTGTGGCAGGAACAAGCCTTTTTCGATCCCATGGAGCTGTATGAGACATCCCCCTACTTCTACCAGGAGCCCCGCTTCTATGATGGGGAAAACTACCTGCCTGTCCATCTCCAGGGCTTCGAGCCACCGGGCTATGAGCGGACTGAGCTCAGCCTGAGCCCCGAGGTCCGAGGGCCACTGGAGGACAAGGGGCTGGGGACCCCCGAGCACTGTCCTGGTCAGTGTCTGCCTTGGGCATGCAAGGTGTGTAAGAGGAAGTCCGTGTCTGTGGATCGGCGACGGGCGGCCACCCTAAGGGAGAAGCGCAGGCTCAAGAAGGTGAACGAGGCCTTTGAGGCCCTGAAAAGGAGCACCCTGCTCAACCCCAACCAGCGGCTGCCCAAGGTGGAAATTCTGCGCAGTGCCATCCAGTACATCGAGCGCCTGCAGGCCCTGCTCAGCTCCCTCAACCAGGAGGAGCGTGACCTCCGCTACCGAAGTGGGGGTGGGCCCCAGCCGGCGGTAAGTGGCCGGCCACCTGCACCAGGGGTGAGGCCAGAGGGAGGCATCCAGACAGCCGTGGGACGCCATGGAGTCACCAGTCAGATGGCTGGAGCAAGTGCCAAGCAGGGCCTTAGGGATTGAAAGACCCCCTCCTTTTGTCAGAGCTTGGCTGTCCAGCTGACCTCCTGTGCCCCCATGCTCTTTCCAGACCAGACAAAGGCAGTGGGCAGGAGGTGCTGACCCAGTGGGGCTGGCTGGCACAGAGCTACAGAAGGGACCCAGGAATAAGCCAATAGTGAGCCTGGGTGAGAGAAGGATTAATCTCCATGCTTAAGTCAGAGCCTAAAAGGCCATGCCAAGTTAGTCAAAGAAGCCTGCTTTGCTCCCCAGTCCACCCCCGTCCTGGGTGTGGCTGAGCAGATAAAACCCACCCAGTTTCACTGGAATCCTAGCAGGCCTCCTCAGAAGTCACCCTAGTGGGGCCAGATGGGCTGCCTTGTCACCCTTATCCCCAGGAACCCCTTTAAGTTAGTGTCCTGTGAAGACAGAATCATTCTGGAAACCAGGAAAGGCCTGGCTGTAGGAGGGTCTTTTTGGAGTGAACATTCTGGAGGTGAGGGTGCCCTAGGCTGGAGGGCCCCAGCCTTGGCCCACCTTTGTACCCCAGCACAGTTCTGACTGCTGGGACCAGGCAGAGAGACACAGCTGAGGATGGCTGTGCCCTGACCTTGGGCCTTGGCCGTGTCTTGCAGGTGCCCAGTGACTGCAGCTCCCACAGCGCCTCCTGCAGCCCAGAGTGGGGAAGTGTACTGGAGTTTGGCCCCAACCCCAGCGGTAAGTGAAGCCTGACTTTGGTAACTAACCATGGCTCAATCCCTCAGCCCTTCCTTAACCTGGATTCTCCCCTCTTACCTGTCCCTGCTCCAGTCCTCTTCCTGTGGTTTCTCCAGGGACCTGCTGACCCCAAATGGTGGGCTGAGAGGCCCTGTGCCGTCCTGCAGCCCTGACCAGCTAAAAGGGGCCATGGCCTCCTGCAGCTCTCCAGCTGGTGCCTGCTGACTGACCTTCTCAGTGAGAGAAGACCGTCCTGCCCCAGGGGTCCCTGGGAGTTGCTGAGTCAGTGCTGCAAAACTGGGCCCAGCAAAGGGCAGTTCCAGTTGCTTCGAATCCCCCACTAGGGAATTCAGAGAGGAGACATGCACACAAGCACACACACACACCCCCCCACACACACACACCATGGAGAAAGGTAGTGGCTAGGGAGAACTCCTGGATTTTGTCCACCCATCTGTCCTCAAAAACCTGTGTCACTCCAAGGCATCCTCCTTCCTTGCCCAGATAACACCCTCCCACCTTCTCCTTACAGACCATCTGCTTGCAGCTGATCCTACAGATGCCCGCAACCTGCACTCCCTCACCTCCATCGTGGACAGCATCACAGTAGAGGATGTGTCTGTGGCCTTCCCAGACGAAACCATGCCCAACTGAGATGTCTACCAGGCTGGGTGTCCGTGTGAGCCCCCTTGCTGGCGACAGATGCTACCACTTCTGCAGCAGGGGCCTCCTGAAGAAGGCTGTTAGGATGCCAGGATGACAGCCCTGGGCTGCCACAGGCCATACTATTCCACTCCCCATCCACATAAGGAATGGATGCCCTCATTTAGCTGACTTAGAACAAGGGCATCCCCTTTCCAAGGAGATAAAGCAGGGGACCAGAGCGCCCCCTTGTGGATACCCCCAGGGGCTCAGGGGGCAAACTCAGGAGCTTCCTTTTTCTCATACGCAGCCTCTAATTCCAACCCCCAAATGAAATGGTTTGACAGACAAAGACAGTGTTCTGACCAGGACAAGTGTGCACATCTCTTGTTCTAGTCTCTTCCTGATGCCAGTGGCTGGGCTGGGCCTGCCATGAGTTGAGAGAGAAGAAAGGGAGAGGAACAATCCATGTCCTTGGGGGGCCAAGCTTTTGCAGTGAATATTGGGAACCTTCCACTGGTTTTATGTTTTGTTTTGTTTTGTGTGTTGTTTGTAAAGCTGCCATCTGACCAAGGTCTCCTGTGCTGATGTTGCTGGAGACAGGCAGGGATGGGGGGGGGGCTCTTGGGGTGATTTTTTTTGTTAACTAAGCATCGTGTGGTTTTGCCATTGTTTTGTATTTTTTTTTTTGCTAACTTATTTGGATTTTTTTTAAAAAATGAATAAAGACTGGTTGCTAAAAGAGTGTCTGTGATGAAGTAGAGGGTGGGGAGTGACTGGCAGCTCTGCCCCTTCCCCTCAGCAGTCCAGATACACTCCAGGGGTGGGCCTTCCGTGGATGCCAAGGATTGCCATGGGCTCCAAAAGCACCACAGGCACCATCCTGCAATGGTCACTAGGCCCTGGGGGGCTCTGCTCTTTTTTCCCCCACTACAACAGGAACCAAGTGTGTCTGATCCACAGCCTAGAGGAAAACCAGTTTCCAGAGAAACTGTGGAACCCAGAGGAAAATCTGGTGTGCACTCCATTGCACTTTAATTCACAGACATCTTCACACTCTGCTTTGTTCCACTGTACAACCCAACAGGTTCATTGCCTCCACTTAGTTGAACGTGTGCAGGTGCCCTGCACTCAACACATAGTCCAGGCCAGGGGAGTACAGCTGGATTTGTCGAGCTCTCCTCCCTTATCCCTGTCTTTCCCCTGGTTCCACATTACTGGGAGCCCTGTAGAGAAGTGGGAGGTGATTAGATTAAAGAGTGTGCTCAGGCACTGCCATTTCATTGCAGGCCAAATAGCAGTCCCCTCGCCACTCTTCTTTCTCCATGCAAAAGGGTTCCTGTCCCTGTCTACTACTCAGAGATGAAGCAGGAAGAGCACAGAAGGGTTCACAAAGAATAATCAAAGGAGAAGCTGGGGCTCTGTCATTTAGGACGCTATTTTTCAAAGACTGGCTTCCCAAGGGGAGAAGGTGGGCGGGGAATTGTGAACAAAGACTTTGGATGGAGATTACGTAAGGATTAACTGGGGGAGTTAGCAGGAACTAGAACTGAAATGGACCAAGAACACCTAATAAAAACTTTATTAATTCCAATTGCTTGGGCCTAAGTTGGTCTGGTTTATTGCGAATTATAAGTTTCAGAATCACTGCAGAATGGGGATTCAGAGCACGGCACCCAATTCCAGCCCCCACTGAGTTCTTGGGGGCCCTTAACAAGTGACTCAACCTAGCTGCAGAGACCAGTACTGGTGGCCATTCAGTACTTACTCTAGATTCTGCTAGGCCACCTCCCCACACTGCCCCCCTGACTTGGTTCCTAGAGGGAGAGTTGACACCCTGCCCCCAGTTTTTCCTGGAGGCAAAGTCTACCTAAGGAAGAAATAAGAAGAAAACCTCAGCAGAGCCTCAGGGAACTCTGGTGAGGGTGCAAAAGTAGGATTCCCCCAAGGCCTGCTTATCTCAAGTAAGCAGTCAGGCTGGGCCCACTGGAAGTCATCAACTGACCTCATCGGCCCTGGTTTGTGGGATTTTCTTCTTTGTGAGTTTGTGTCACTGTGTTTATAGTCTTCCCCTCTTGGATGGGCTGGAGAGGTACATCTATTTCTTTCCTATGACCTCAAGGGCCCACGCTCTTTCGGTGAGGAGGGCAATAAGGGTGATTATGATGATGTGCCTCTGGTCTACGTTCACTTCCTTACAACCCACCAAAATACTGAACTGTACATCTACAGAACGATCTTCTCTCCTCAAACTTATTTCCTCTGACCCTGGTACCTCCCAGGCTCTCAGGGTGAATTCTACCCACTGCCTTCAGCTATGTCCTGCCTATCACTTATCCTCCTTACTGGGGTCTAGGCTGGCGAAGAAGAAAGGCACTCAACAGTGCCAAGGAGATGATGCGTTCTGGGGTTGAGGATATATCTCTAAAATCCATTCCTCTTCAGTTACTATGCCAACTAGAAACTGAGGTTCATTCATCCTCTGGAAAGAATGGCTACTAGAGTCAATAGAGCTCTGCCATTGTTCAAGTGTAATCATCGTCTACTTACTTTGTCACAGCCTTAAGTCCTTGAGTTAGAAGTAATCTGGTGTAAAAGTACTGTTGTGAATGGCAAACTCTGCCACACAGGAGCCCAGTCTCATTCATTATTTTCACAGAATAAATGTCATCAGAGGACAGGGACTTTCTTAAATTAACAAATCCTTAACCTTCACAATAGAAGTACAGATAAGACTCCAACTAATGAATAATGAGGTGGAGTGCTTTAGGGAAATTAAGCTTAAATTCCTTCCTCAGTGGAAGCACATATAATAAATCAAACTGTGTTAATCAAACGTTGCCTAATTATGGACTTGGGGGAATCACTAGAATGAAGAGAGAATTACTTGAAAGTGGCATACCAATTGTTAGTGTAGAAATAGGAACTTTACTTAAAGTGTTTAGATAATTAGTGTGAATTGCAGGATGCTTCAGGTTAGATTTGTATACTCCAGTAAACACTCTTAGATATCAAACTTCTCCAGGTAATTTATTTGGTGGGCTGGAAAACCTGAGTGTTGTAGATATAGCAGGTGGTTGGAACAACTGGAGAGGGAAGTGAAGGGCAGACAATGGAGGGTGAGAGGAGAGGAACCCGCTCGATTTGAGAATCCGTTTCATGGATAAAATGTCATCCCCATCATGTCATGCCCCTTGCAGTCCTCTGGCTTCCTGGTTTCTGGGAAAGGCCTGATGCACAGAAACCTGAGCTAAAGCTTTGCATGAGACCAGAAGACTCCAGGCTGACCTGGGGTCTTAGCTAAGGAACCCCGGCTCAGGCCTGTGTGGGAATGCACACCGCCACCTGTCCGTGCTGCATGCCTACTCTCCCCTTTGCCACAGGCGACCACCCTGACCCACATCCTTGCCTCTCACTCTGTTTGGAACATTCCTAAGGGGAGCAAAGGAAAGGGTTCTAGGAAAGAAACCAGAATGCTGAAACATGATGTTGGAGTCTCGTCTCAAACTCAACATGTCCATCACCAAACTCACATTTCCACAAAAGCTTGTTCCTTCTACATCTCCATCCCAGTGGATGGCAGCACTAGGAAATCATGTTTTTTCTGGATCCCTTTGGATCGCATTTCTGTAGCCAGCTGGTCACCAAAGCCCATCTTGATCATGGAGGAGGTAGAAGGGGACCCCTAGAGGCTATAGGCACTAGACCAGCACCTTCTTTGTCTGTTTGCCCTGTCTGGGCTCTAAGTTGTCTTGCCTGGCTCTCCTCCTGTTACCTGTGCCTGTCACCTGGAGAGGGAGGTGGTCAGTCAATGGAGGATAAGAGGAAAGGAATCCCCTCAATTCAGATGTCTGTTTCACAGATAAATCTCTACCCCCAACAAGTCTCGTCCCTTGGACTCTGCCATTCCTTGCTCCATCAGTGTCTGTGGCATTGCTGACTTTGGATAGGATACAAGGACACAGTGTGTTATGCAGCACAGATGGAAGTTCACCATTTGGATAAGCAGAACAAAAACATGGCAATGAAGATTCACAGGATCCAGGTCTACCTGAGTGGTACAAAACAGTTGTGGTAAGAGCACAAGCACTTACATGTTGGGGAAGGCATGACTTCCCTTTAAAGAGAAGCAAGTCATATTGTCAAGTACTCCTGGCACTGGGTCAAGACAGTTTGTTGTTTGAGACAGGGTCTCATTGTGTAGCTCAGGCTGACCCCAGATTCTCCTCACCTCACCTCCTGAGTACTGGCATGTGTCACCATGTCTCATCTGGATCAGGACTTTAGCTTACAGACTCTAGTTAAGGACAAGGCAATGGAGTCAGGAGACTTAGGGTGAGACCTACATCTCTTCCCAGCTATGTGATCTCAGCCTTATCATTTTCTTTTCTAGAAAATGGGGATAACACATCATAGGGTTGTAAGGACTCAATCAATTAATCCATTCAGTATGTGCAATGATTTGAATGTTTGTGCACCTCTCCAAAATTCATATTAAAACTTAATCTCCAATGCAATAGTATTAACAGAAGTGATGTGGGAATGCTGAGTTCATGAGATCTTGGATGTGCCTAAATCTTGAAGGTCTCAACTTCCAGAACTGTGAGAATTTGTTATTTATAAATTACCTAAGTTATTTTGTTATAGCAGCAGAAACAGACTCAAACAATGCTTAGGACAGTGTCTGCCATCCAACAGTATACAGTAATTTTCAGCTTTTACTAATATTATTCCCTCTGAAAATCCTCAGATAAGGTTGGTTATCCATTCCATTCAAGTGTGTCCACCCAAGGATGTAGAGGTCAATGAGACTAACTTAAGGCATGTCCTAGCAGCCCAGTGTGAGACAAACAAGGAGACAGTAAGTGCACAGCATTTGAATGTGCAGAGTGCTCATGGAGTGCTGGAAGCTATTGGCTCCCTAATTCTGCTGGAGAGGTAGACATTGCCTCACCGGGGAGGCTTGAAGATTCAAAGCTGCAAAGGCAGGGAAAGAGGTAGCTGGCTGCCTTCTGGTGAGGAGACTGGATGGACATAACATTTCTGAGTTAGGTGGACTGGGGACTGGCAGAAGGAGGAAAGGGTCAAGGACCCCCATGGCTCCTTGCTTCCATAAGAAACATGAATGGCTTCTTATAGCCACCTAGAACTGGAGCTGGACCCTGATCTAGAGGTAGGGGAGAGCTGCTGGTAGTGAGAACGAGGAGGGCAGCTTAGAAGCAGCAGCAACTCTGGGTGCAGTGGGAAAAGATATGAGCAGGGTAAGCATGGGTAGGTGAAGATGGAAGAGGAAATCAGTTAAGCCGAGCACAGGCTCCTCACTCCTTCATCTTGCCTTCTATACCCTTAGCCCAATCCACCCAAACATGAAACTCCCCATCAATCCTGTATGTAGAGAAACAAACAGAAGGTTATTGACTATAAGTTTGCAAAACTCTTGATACTGGACATGTCAGATGAGTTCAATTTCAAAAAAGGACTAGAGGCCATTTGTATGTTGTCTTAAAACCAGGTTGTTTATTGTTACGTACACACCCACTCTCACACCCCACACACAGACACATCCACACATTCACTCCTGATGAACTGAGCCAATACAGTACTGAGAAGGGACCTGGTGAGACACAGAAGTTGGAGAGAAGGGTTTGGGACACTGGTGATTCTCTAAAGAAAAAACATATTGACTATGAAGCAAGGGGTACACAAAGACAACTGCCTTCCATCATTGTGTACAGAT